TAGGAATGGGTATATATATATATATACATAATACATATATACATATATAATAGGAGTTCTAACAGTAATTTTCTGCTGTAAACGATGAATTTAAGTGAGTGGTGTGTGAAAAATTACTAYAAAATGAAAATTGATGGACTTATCCTCTTTTTGCAYAGTTGTTATATACTTATATATATACTATGTTATAAAATGTACTCGTTTTAATGTAAAATGACCTACGAACCCAATCATGTTATTGTATTTTCGTGTGTGCTTATTAGATTCAGCCGATCTCCTCCAGCGCAGACTTCCGGCACCATTACAACCGTGTTTGAGTACCAAAATTCCGATCGAGATGACGCAACAGTACGAACCACCGGCGTTCGACTCGAACTGCATGACGCTCACCCGGTATGTGTTGGCCGAACAGAAAAAAGTCCCGGCGGCCACTGGAGATCTGACCCAACTGCTGACTAGCATTCAGACGGCCGTCAAGGCGGTCAGCTCGGCCGTGCGCAGAGCCGGACTAGCGCACTTGTAAGCATTTGAACTTTTTTATTTTACATCATAGATTTTTTACATTTTCAACTCGCTCAATGTCCAGTAGTTTAATATCGAATACTCAAAGATGGGCATTTAGGTAGGTGGGTACCTATATTATAGTCAAAAATATAATGTAATAAGAAGCTTTTATAACTATCGACTTTTAATGTGGGTACCTACACCAACTTAACAAATAATAGTATACAAGTATAAGTAATACGTTTACCTAACTAAAATAAACCCGACCAGCTGTGTTTGATTTACGTAAGACAAATATTGAACGAGCTTCGGCTTACAAAATCAGGTCCGTGCAAGTACCTATATATATATATTATATATAGTGTAGTATACACGGAGCCACGTTTAAAGATAGGCAATGGGGGCGGCAATTTTTTTAGAATCGACATAAAATAAAAATACCTACATAATTATAATCATAATTTTCTTAAGGGCTGCATATTTTAATTTTCCATGCGGGGTGGCAATATAGCTTAGCGCGGTACTTATTAGTTATTATACACTATACATATAACGTGACCATACGTCCGGATTTCAGAAAAGTCGACTTGTGGTAGGCAAAGACGTGCCGTTATGATTTGGCGTCCAAGGCAAAATTAAAAATATTCACCCTCTTAAAGTTTAAAATATTATTAAAAAAATGTTTGGCACCCCTTTAAAAGATGCGCCCAGAGCGTATGCCCCCTAGGCCCGCCCCACGGCACGGCTCTGGTGGTAGGTATTTATTGATCACATATTACAATCATACATTTATTCTGTACCTACCTATACAGTTTACAGAATATAATATATTATATATACCTACATATTTTATATATACTGTAGTAAAACACTAAAACCAATAGTCCATAGATTTTTGGGAGTCTATTATATGATTAATATATTTTCTTTTTCTATTGTCATTTTTCATAGAAACAATTATAAATGTTTTATTTTTCAATAAAAAAAATTTTTATCTTACGCAAAATTATATGGTTTTCTTTTTAAAATGTACAGGTGTCCCGCTTTGAAGAATACAAATTATGGTCACGTTAACTATACACTAAATAGTTATACATAGTAGGCACTGAAATTTCCATATTGGCTATAATATTATGTACCTTCTTACCGGTAAGAATAATATAATACTTACACATAACGCAACTATCACGTTCTGTATATAGGTATGGCATGGATGGGTCTACGAACGTGCAGGGCGAAGACGTCAAGAAGCTGGACGTGCTCAGCAACGAATTGTTCATCAACATGTTGGCGTCGTCTTTTACGGTCCATATGTTGGTCAGCGAAGAAAACGAGACTGTGATAGAAGTACGTCATCTTATCGCGTCGCTGTTTTTTATTTATGTTATGCTTTTAAATTAATATTTTAAGTCATTCTACCAATCCTGATAGACTCGTACCTAGCTATTATCTAGAGACAGGCGCGTAGCCAGGGGTGGGGTGTTACAGGTGTAATAACACCCTCCCTCAGCCATGGTATACTTAATATTTTTTTATCAAGATAAAGATGCATCATAAGCACGAATTATCTTAAATCGTGATTTACACTTATTTATTAAAATTAAGTATATTAGTTTATATTACGATAACAATAATGTAAAGCACTGAAGCCATGCATTAATTAATATTTTAGACCGTTCTGTGACGTTTTATCGATTACTCGTTTCATGCACGATTTAATATATCTTTTTATGCAGCGTGTAAGAAAACGTTTACAACTTCTTAATTATTGATCATTTGATTATCATGATGAAGTATCGTATACCTACGTCATCAATTTTTTGTTTATAATTTTTTCAATTAATTTTGAATAACCCCCTCCCCCCTTTAGAAATTTATAGCTACGCGCCTGTTTAGAGACACTATCTATGGGTATGTCAATTTAAAATAATAAAGTTACAATATTCTTAGTAAATTATATTGCCTGCACGTATATTTATCATTTTAACACGGCGGAATATTTAGKCAATACGCAATTTTATTATAAATGATAATAAATTAGTGATTAGGTTGTATACGGTTCCAAGGGTAAACGGAATAAAAATCCCCGAAATAAAACATTACATTTCCAAATATTTTTAAGACACCTAATGTATAGGCACGAATCCAGAGTAGATATACCGGGGAGGGAGGGGGGATCGACCCTTGCAACCCTTGGATCTGCACCTGCTAATATATAACACAATATATATGTAACTTTAAATGTTATTAACACGTACGAAATTAGGATACAGTGAAATAAGTAAATAACTATAATTACCTACAATATAAGTACATTCTTTAACGGCGTTAAGTATTGTTTAAAAATTATTTAATTAATATTATTAATATTGACGTGCGTATCGAATATTCGAAATATTCGTATTTTTAAACTTTTGAATAATGTATCTATAAAGCAAAACTTTTAAAAAAGCTTCCTTATAATTATATTTATTGCAATTAATGAAATTTAACCTAACTCAATTTAATTTTTTACAAAATTATAAATATCATAATGTAAAACAAAATATTTTTTCAGTTAATTTCTTTAGTCACATACTCGCATATGTCACTGCACCGCCAACTATACGATATAACAAACTGAATACAGGCTTTACCGGAAAAACTCTCACACCGTAGAGTTGTCTGATTTCATTATTATAATTTTTTTTTTTTTTTGTGAGAAAATGAATGATTTTTTACAGAGCATTATGGGACTTTGGTTTTTGATTTCGCTACTATTAAAACAAAAATTGAAAAATGATTTTAAAAAAACAAAGGCTTGTAAAAATTGGTTGTATTCAAAATTGTATTTTGCAGTTTAAAAAATCCAAGTCCAATTTACCCTGGCATAAGTGTCTATCAAGGTGTGAAAGTTTATCTGTAAAGCATGTCACAAGTCATGATCAGGCCCCTTGAATATCAAATTAATATTCTAATAATAAATTGTAACAATTTTTTTTTTATATATATATAGTATATACCATGTTTATAATACTACAGATAGTATAAATATGTATCATAGTTAATAATATTTATTATATTTTATATAATCTGTAATAATACAATTTTATACCATTGTATAGTAATACATACTCACATCTCTAAAATTAAGGTGTTTAAAGTTTAAAAAAAGGCATGGTAAACTATTCTGATGTGAAAATTTTTACTTGTCAACACAATAACAATACTATGATCATATTATTATGTAGTTGTAATGTTATACTGCTTATTTTTTTAGATTGAAACTGAAAAACGTGGTAAATACATTGTGTGTTTTGACCCTCTGGATGGGTCGTCCAACATTGATTGTCTTGTGTCCATCGGTTCAATATTTGGAATTTTTAAGTACTTACAACTTACAGAATAATACTTTTAATAATTAAAATTTATACTAGTTTATTTATCAAGTTCCTCCTAACTTAACCTAACCCATCCTAACCCAATAATGGGATAATGTATGAAAAAAAAATTTGTTATGGTAATTTATTAATCGCATTATATATACAATGTATAAAATTTGCAGAAAGACCAATGAGAGCAATGAGACGAATGTGAGCAATGCCTTTCAAACAGGGAGGAATATGGTGGCTGCCGGCTATGCGCTTTATGGCAGTGCAACAATGATGGTGTTATCACTGGGCAAAGGGAGAGGAGTTAATGGGTTCATGTTAGATCCGGTAAGTTGCTACAATAACACTTAATGAAATACACCTTGATATAATTATTCAACATGATCTAATATATGAAATATAATATCATTATAACAGTCGATTGGTGAGTTTTTGTTGACTGAAAGTAATATCAAAATACCTAGCAAGGGAAACATTTATAGTATCAATGAAGGGTATTCACATTTGTGGGGCAAATCTGTGACAGAGTATGTGAGGAGGAAGAAAGATCCAGAGGTAATTTTTTGTCTTCATATTGTTATGCTTTGTAAATTATAAATTAAATTGAATTGTTATTTCAGTTTGGTAAACCATATGGTGCCAGATATGTTGGCTCGATGGTAGCAGATGTACACCGTACATTGAAGTATGGAGGTGTATTTATGTATCCGGCTACAAAACAATCACCAAACGGCAAGGTATGAATTTATAAAAAAATCTATAGTTAAGTAAAGATTATATTTTATATCGCCTCATTGTTTAAATTCATACCAAAATTAATTTTATATTACACTAGTTACGGCTATTATATGAAGGAAACCCAATGGCTTACATAATTGAAGAAGCAGGTGGATTAGCAAGCAATGGTAAGATACCAATACTGGACATACAACCCACAGCCTTGCATCAGAGAACCCCAGTATTTTTAGGCTCCAAAGATGATGTCAACGAATTTTTAAAATTAAAYCAGTCATAAAGATTAAATTTTTTGTAAGAAATTTATTATACAAAATTATTGAATGGTATAATGTTGTACATTTTATAGAGTAATAAAAAAATGTTATTTTTGTTTTCCAACTATTGTAAATTGTCATACTACATAAAAATAAGAATATTAATTTTGAGTACCAGTAAATGAATAGAGAATATTTGGGTAACCAAAAACATAATAGTATGCTGTAAGATAAAGTAAGAATACAAATACTTAAGAACGAAGTGCTAAAAATTGATGGAACACTTCAAGGATATGAATGTCAAGATCTTGAGTGAAAAGTAATCCTTCTAGGGTACTACTGTATTTCTGCACCTGTTCATGATGCTGAAAATAAAATGAAACAGGAATTTATCAAAACTAATAAAAAAAWTTTTGTTAGTTTAATTTATCATTTAGTGCACATATACAATAGTAAAATCATGAAAACCGTTAAATAGTAACATAGTAATATTGTAATAATAACTATTAAAAAATCATAAAAACTTATGTAATGGTTAATAAGGGCTCAGGTTTAAATTAAGTAAACAAATATATAGAAGGCCAGAATAGCATTTTATCTATTATTATTATTATTATTTTATCACCAAATTTGACAAGTGTTAAATATATCTTAAAGTGTTATAAATACAATTCTGAACTAACAATTTTTWAAATTTTTTTTTCCTATATGTTTTTCATATTTCATAATAAAAACTTATTCAAGTCATTTTAATAAGTATTACATAATGTATAATAATATAAATAACTTATTTTTTCTAAAACAGATAAATAAATTGAAATGATTGCAATTAATATGGTATAATTTACAAATATATATTAAATGAAAAAAATCTAAACAGGGAACGTGGCTAAGTAGTTAAATCAAATGCAAAATCAGACAAAATCAAACAAAAGTAAAATTAAAATATTTTGGGTAAGGGGTAGACTGGCTGGGATGCTACAGTATCCTTTGCCATAAAATATATTTGATCTGATTTGTTTTTAATCTAATATTGTAAAATTTTGTTTGAAGTTTGTTGTAACTTTGTACCTATTTACGATTTTTAGGATTTTTAGGATTTATTTTAAATATTTTATTATAACAAAACAAAATATAACATTTTAATATTTTATAAATAATCTACATATTTTAAATTTGTCCTAAACATTTTTGTTATTGGTATTTTAAAAAATGTAGCATCCTGTGCCTTATATTACCAGTACGTGCCTGTTTTGAATTTGCCCATAATGTTGTTAAACAGCATAATGAGTTTGTAATGTTATATTTGTATTTCAATACAAAATATTATGAAGAATGTAACAGTGTTTCATTTACTAAGTAAATCTGAAAAAATATAAGAAATAAGAATTGTTATACTTACAGCTAAAAACACCTGTTGCAGTCGCCCAACAGTGTATTTGTACCAGTATGTGTCAAATGGTCTGTCATCTGTATCACACTTTACTAAATGTTCGGATAATATCATTATGAATCTCTGAAATAACAAAAATAAATGTGGGATTATTATTATTATTATTATGATTGCTATCGTTGTTACTATCATTATTATTATTATTATCATCAGTCCTAGTGTGTGTGTGTGATATACTGAAGTAGTGATGTATGAACCGTGATGTGCGTTGACTGTAAAGTATATTTAAGTTGTTTTAAAATAATAAAAGATTTGTTGTATTCATATAAAACATTTGTTAATGTTTGTTAATCACCCGCAGCCCATAAAAAGTTACGAATACCGTATTAACTTCTACATAAATTCAATTATTACATACATTTTTTAAATTTGTTATACATTATACCTGAAAAACAATCAAAAACAAATTTTTTTGATCAGCTTGAGCCATTTCTAATTTCTCCTCCATACGTTCAACCATCTCTTCAGTAACATTGTCATCTACATCCATTGGAACACCTTGACCACCAAATGTAGTTGTTGATTGTCTAGGTTTTGCCTCAACTTTTTCTGTTTCTGCATCACTGTCATCTGAACTATTTGTTATCGCTGCTGTTGTGCGCAACTTTTCTCTAGCTTCATTTAACTCTCTGGTTAATCGATCCACATGTCTGGACATTTTGTTGATGGTCAATGATAATATTTCCCAAATATACAGCCTTAAAGATTGATAAGTGTTTAAAATTAAAGTATTAAAAATAACTGAATAACATTATGGGGCTTATGAAAAGTGATCAGTCAATGTTTTCAGCAGTAATTACCAAAATAAAATTATACATAAAAACAAAAGATGCAATACTAAGTATCTATGGCATTAACAATGTTTAGTTTAGCAACCTTCCATTAACTACTAGTGATCATTGTTCACGAACTGGGCTAAAAATAAATTACTTRGTAAACTCTGGTATCATTTCTTTTGAAAATATCCAATTTGCCACTGATGAGCATTCAATAATCTGTGTTTTCAACATTTTGTCAATGAGTACAGTTAACATTTGTTGATCTGCACTCCATAAATCAAAAGTGCTTCTTAATATTTGCAATTGACCGTCATCTGTTTCTCCTAAAGCCTAAAATTTGAACTATGTTTAATATCATGTATCAGTCTAAAAAGATTCGTTATTTTTGAGAATCCAAACAAGTATCTGTTCAAAAGATTATTATATAGATATGTAGTAAAGGTTACAAAAGTAATATGTTGCTGCAGAAGCATTAATTTGTTTGTTAAACGTTACACAATTTATTAAGAATTTAAGAATTTTTTTGGAAGTATCCAACAAAATTGTAATAGCATAAAGTGTGACAACAGTTTTGACATGTTTAATATATATTCGGAGTTCAAATTATACTTTTTAACTATAGTGTATTTATTTTTAGATTAGTAAAATAGCTAGCAGAATGGCAATAAATAGCTTAGAAATTAAAAAATAAGTTTTTAGATTCAGAACGGAGTAATGAATGTATTGATTTTACAATGATAAGTGTTTTTTTTTTTGTGTGTGTGTCTGTGTAAAGCATAACTAGTCGAAATAATGCTTCAATTTCAAACTTTGGGTATGGTTTCCGATGGAAA